TGACAAGAAGTCACACACATTATAGCATATCGTATCTTTTTGTATGTTCCCCAGGCATATAGCTTAAAAGTATTACTTAAATGCCAAATAGCAAATATCAAATTAACTGAAACTGTCAAATCTAATTTAAATAAATAAATTAAATACGTGTGTAATATTCCTTTTTCTTTAGACAACAATACCACTGACAATAACTGAATCATGGTATATTCTGCATATCTACCTCCAGAGGTGGGACCAAGTCATTGTTTTGCAAGTCCGAGTCAAGTCTCAAGTCTTTGCGCTCAAGTCCGAGTCAAGTCTCAAGTCTTTGCGCTCAAGTCCAAGTCGAGTCTTCAAGTCAGGTTGGGCAAGTTCAAGTCAAGTCCAAGTCCTAAACTTTGACAAAACGAGTCATAAACAAGTCATTATGTGTTTTTCACCAAATGTAATGACATCGATCAACAGAATAATACTTAATGATCAAATTGCCTCTTCATTAGTCAGATTAATAATTTAATAATCAATTTTCTCTCTGCTGGTAAAGTAACATGTGTTTTTCTAATTTAAGAGGGATCAGTAAGGTAAGGCTACCGTGACGTTTGATTCAGAAGGAGTTTAATGTATAAGATCCCTGATGTTGAGGTAACCAGAATGTTTATTTCCACTGTGTACAACATGTTATAAGGGACCCACAATCTATCTTTATGCAAGGGATAATGTGCAGCCAGGCGGTCTGGGGAAGAGAACACCTGCATCTAGATCCCTCTGCAGGTGGTACTTTAACTCTATTTCGATGCTAATACTTTTGTACTTTTACTTTGTAACATTTTGAATGCAGGACTTTTTATTGTAACGAGTATTCCTACACTCTGGTACTTTTGTCATCAAGTACAAGATCTGAACTTCTCCCACCTCTGACAGTAAATCCTGAGTGGTTACCAAAATAAAGGTAACCAAAAAAGGTTATTTTCATTTTTACAAATCCTGCACTCAGCTTTGCTTTCTCCAATATCATTGAAAAGCAGCCAGATGCTGCTTCTTTTTTTCGGTTTTTCGCTAATTTCTTGACTTTTTCTGACGCACTTGCATTTAAATCCGTCTCCCCCGTAGCTCTGTGCAGCTGGCCTGTACCACTACACCTGCTGTGCCCCCCACCCTTCTTTCACATAATGGTATGATCCTAGTGTGTCCTCGCATATGATTGGCCGCATGGTGGCCCAGCTAAATAAATTCCCGCCCCTGCCTGCAAGGATTCTCAGCAAGAGTAGGAGCGGCTGAAGATTCTGCTTTCCCCAACGGGAGTCTTCTCTTCTAGCGGCAGCTCTGCGATCGGCGTGTTGGAGACCTCTGAATTAAATGATCAAGTCACCTCAAGTCAGAAGGCTCAAGTCCAAGTCAAGTCCCGAGTCATTGGTGTTCAAGTCCAAGTCGATTCGCAAGTGTTTTGTGATTTTGTCAAGTCGAGTCTCAAGTCATCAAATTGATGACTCGAGTCTGACTCGAGTCCAAGTTATGTGACTCGAGTCCACACCTCTGTCTACCTCACATGTTACACATACTCTGAACGTGGTATTCACACAAAACTCATTCCTTATACAACTACACAGAATAACAAGAACACAATAACTCTTCCTCATAACTTATAAAACATTTACAATTAGCCTTAGCAAGGTGCTTAGTTAACCACGATAACATGCTACATGAATACAACACACTATTAGTAGTGATGTTACGTATTGCGCCGAGGCTTCGGAGCGTGTGTCGAGTAATCCCCGAAGCTTTTTGTGAAGCATGTACCGAGGCTTGTATCGTTTTGGGCCAGTGACGTCATCGATGACAAACGAAGCCTCGCTGCCTGTCGATACCACGTGACTGCTTCACGAAGCGATTCAGATCGGTTGAACCGTTGAACCACAACGCTCATAATACTCATGGATGTATAATAAGAACCATATTACCCCTCCTGTACCCGGGCCCGGGTGACACGATGGAATCAAGAGAGCTCAGATCCTCACTCATATAGAGGTCGGAACATGTCATAAGTATAAATAGATACAAGCATAAATAAATGTAGGAATAAAAACATGAATAAATACAGGAATACATATCTTGCAGTGTTTTCAGGGAGCTTTAGTGTGTGTGCTGTGGCTCAGCTGGACAGCTCTCTAAAACACTTTGGACAAAAACTGAATATTTTAATCTCCATGAAAGACAGTTTCTTTGTGTAAATATATCACATGATAGTATTTTTAGGACATTTCATTCTTTACTAATCACTTTTATTTCTAGAATTTCTACTCTTTTTCCAAAATTGAAATTATACATGGTAATGACATTTCAAAGACAAATATACTTGTAAAGCCAGCACATATGACATGAGCACATATTTATGTATGAGTGTCAACACACCCACACTACAAAAACCACTTATATATACTATATGGTCAACAGTGTGTGCCGGACAATCTCCACACATGATGTGTCTATGTGATAACTGAACAGTGATCTGAACTCTGCAGGTGTCAGGCACAAGGACATAGTGGAACAGGGTACTGCTGCTACTAGGGAAAATATCTGTTTTCTGAAGCATAAAGACTTCCTGCAACTGAATGGAAGTCTTTGTCCAGGTTTTAAGATATCCTAGAGATAGACATCTTATTTTTGTTCTAAACACGTTGTCCTTCCTTTGCTCAGCCTTACACAGCTAACAATGCTAATCAGGGGCCAGCATGTTAATGGAGCGTTGTTTCCTTAAGAAAAATGATATCGTTTTCTGAACTAAGCCTGGGAAAAACTGGTTGTCTTGTTGCATGTGAGTCTTGCTTTATATTTTTTACTTTGGAAAAAACGTAGCCAGGTTGTTAACATCGTTCTACAAATAAACTTGACGAGAAATAGATATATGATATAAAGAGAGATGTTTTTATTGAATGGGTGAGGACACAAATACAAACATATTTTTTTCTGACAAAGGTTTTTGTGTTTCAAAAGTCGGCCTTTAGGATTTTTAACACAACCGTTTTCAGTATGATATTTTTAGATATAGTAGACGATTATGATATCTCAGGTTAGTAGGGTCATCTAATTGCTGCTTTTCATGAACAATATAAAGTATTACCAGCCTAATAAATTAAGAATTGTTGACTGCCAGTTTAGAGATCAGTCAGACTGTCGCCCCCTCTTTTCTTATAAATGAAGTTGGAGTGTCAAGAAGTCCTGTGGCTTCAAGAGGGTCTTAATGTGATTTCAATGCATGTATCATTGTTACCACCACTGCCTTACTGCACATGTTGTACAGTGGCACCAGCTGCTCCATCTACAGTATGGTCGCCGTGGTAGCTGCTTTCTGGAAGACGCCTTATACCAAATGATAGAAAGGATAGATTTGTCTCTATGCACATAGAAGGTAATGTGTGTCATGTTGTCAAATGTTCAGAGAGCCGTGACTGGTGCTCATGTTGCTGCAGAGAGGAACTGTGACAGGTCAGAGCAGAGGGGGACAGTAGTTAGTGATGCATAGTTATCAAGAAGTTTCAAGGGCTTGGTTGCTAAGTTACCCAGATGGCAGGTCCTCTGCGGGGTCACTCTCATCAGAGCCTCTTAATGTGCCAACGTCCTGCAGAGCAACCAGGGACATGTCCGGCTGGATGTCCTCCTCGTCTGACTGCACCAGAGGCTCGTAGTTCTCCTCACTGGCAGCTTCTTCCTCTTCCTGCTCCCACTCTGCAGCCTGGTTGGACGCTTGGTTCTTTGTGGGAGGCGCTTGTATAATTTGGCTTTTCATTTCAGATTCAGAAGAGCAGGACTCGAGATCTGGACCTGTGAGAGAAGACCACTGAAGTTTACTCTCACTGGAAGTGAATAATTTAAGTTCAACCCTGTGTGGCACAATCACACAGCAGTTGGATCAGCTTTAGGCTTTTTGTCCAGGGCAGGTTCGTATTATATTCTTTATTTTATGCTCTTTGATTTTTACACATGCGATAATGTAGAACCATTGACCTGCTGTATTCATTGTACTCATTCATCCTCCCATCATTGTTGCCATATCTTGTGAGAAGATTCATATGTTAGACTGACTAAGTTACTGTCTGATGTGCACACCCAGCACCCAGTAGCTAAAGAGCTGATGGCCAAATAATGCTACATAATTACACCTACATACACCAGGTGACCAGTAACACAAAAATAAAATAATGCAGATGTTGTTCCATGCCAACTTCTTCAGCCAGAGGTTTTTCTGCTCAAAAGTTGGCAAAAAAATAATAAAAGGTAGCAGAACATTAGCTCCCGCATCAAAAAGCACAGCAGAGGATGTTCCTCCTGAGGCAGCTGAAGAAATTCAACCTGCCAAAGATGACGATGGTGAACTTCTACACTTCCATCATCGAGTCCATCCTCACCTCCTCCATCACCATCTGGTACGCCGCAGCCACAGCCAAGGATAAGGGCCGGCTGCAGCGTGTCATCCCTCCACGACCTGCATGCCTCCAGGACCCTGAGGCGGGCAGGGAAGATAGTGGCCGACCCCTGCCACCCTGGACACAAACTGTTCACCCCCCTCCCCTCTGGCAGGAGGCTGCGCTCCATCAGGACCAAAACCTCTCGCCACCTGAACAGTTTCTTCCCCTCCGCTACCGGCCTCTTAAACAAGGCCCGGCCCCCCCAGACACAACGTATACTCTATATGCATTACATTAATGCACACAATGTTCAAATACTGCTTACTGCACATATTTCCCGTTTTATATTCTATAATTCACTGCATTCTATGTCGCTGTAAATTACTGCTTTATTTTATTGCTATCTTACTATATTTTATTACGGTGTCCTTAAAGATTTTTAGTTTTATATTAGATTTCTTGTTTTATATTTTATGTCTGCACCATGACATCAAGTCAAATTCCTCGTATGTGTGAACCTACCTGGCAATAAACCCGTTTCTGATTCTGATTTTAAAAGGTTTAGCAACATAAAATACCAATATCTACAAAAATGCATGCCTTGATTGAGAATTCCTTTATTCATCAGGGACATTTACTTTAGCCTTTGGAAGCCTGTAGAGAAAGTGCGTTGGGGTTACCGGAGGTCAGGGAGGACCCTGTGCTGATGTCATCACCAGTGGAGTTGAGGAAGTCATCCAAAGCCTCCTGGTCTGATATGTTGGTGACTGTCATCTGATCCAGAACACGCACGTCTGTTCCTGCTTGCTCTGCGCACACACACACACACACACACACACACACACACACACACACGCTTTTGTTTGTATTGTTTTATGTCTAGTATATCTTTGTATTGCATTGTTGAGGAACCTTTTCATTACACAACTACACTGTAGTAGTAAACCTAAATCTTGTAATAAGCACACAGCTTGGGCACCCATGTTGCATGCTGCACCCTGCTCTCTCTCCCTGTTTCCACACTGTCCTGTCAAAAACTACCCTAGCACCAGGGCCGGCGCTGACCAATTTGCTGCCCGAGGCAAGATTTTAGTTGGCACCCCACCCCCAAAATGCAGACACTCACTATGGCTCGCGCATGCATGCACGTGCACGGTTGTGGCATGACCACCAAAACAGAAAGATATGGACACAAGATGTGTGCAAATGTATTTAGTACCCTATCCATGTGAATATGATTTAAGTCGGGGGGTGGACCTCACACCTCTAGGGGGGTCCGGGGGAAGATTATTTTTTTTCTTAATATTGAAGTTGAAAGCATCAATCTGGTGCACTTTGAGAGCAACATGAAGAGATCTATGGATACATCTCTCAACATCCATATGAAACAGAACTGTAAACAGATTTTCTTTTTCTTTATGGATATTTTACAAATCACTCCCCGTTCAAACTGTATTCTTGTTTATTAATAACTTTTTTTTACTGTCATATAGTATTTTATACCTGTTTTATCTATTCTCTTATTTTGTTATAACTACAGTATAATGATCATATAAAGGTGTGCCTTTACCTCACTGAGCTGAGGATATCAGAGCCTCTCAGTCTTTCAGGAGAGAGCTCTCTAAAGCTCTCCCCCCCGCGGCCGCTTACACAGTAAATTCCAATGTTAATAAAAGCACAGAGAAGCTGTATACGTTTTTTGGGAGTTTGATTTATTTTAAATTAACACTAATACAAAATTAAAACCTATAATTGCACACTAAAACCATTATTTCCAAAAAATAACTATTTCACATAAACCTCTGGTTTTGACTGGCGCTGGGGCAGTTCAACTTGATTTTGGGGGGGGGGGGTGCGCCATAGTTTATGGGCGCTGTATGCAATATACAGGGTTCATACACTTTTTCACCAATGATTTTCAATGACTTTTCCATGACTTCTCAATGACCTTTACCTAATTTTCCATGACCAAAAAAAAATTACCACTGAAAATGGTTTATTTGAACATGGAACAGGAAATAAGGTCTGCATATGAAACATGTAGTGCCTATCTAAAACAAATCAAATAGTTGGCTTACTAGCTTCTACACGCTAAAGCAACTGTAGTCAGGGATGCAAACTCATCAGGTATGGAAAAGGTGACAAGGACCCGAGCCCCTGACCCCACGGAATATCGGCTTTAAAATGAGGAACAGAGGATTTTAGCAGTCAGAGCAACTAAAGCAGCAGTGTTAATAATAACAGAAACGCTAAAGAGTCACATCTAATATAAATATATAAAAGCATTTATTTTAATTGTGTAGCAGTCAGTTTATAATTCTGGCAGCACTGTTGAGCATTTTGAAAATGTATTTTCATGCCTCTGTGCAAGGCTTAGTCTTTCTATCTTTATAGCCACTGGGGTTAAGTAACTAAGTTCATAAACTCAACAAGTACTATACTTGGGTACAATTTTGAGATACTTGTACTTTATTTAAGTATTTCAATGTTTTGCTACTGTGTACTTCTACTCCTCTACAGTTCAGAGGTAAATGGTGTACTTTTCCTCCACTACATGTATTTAATCCCTTTAGTTACTTTACAGATGTGGATGAATGATGTGAAATATAATCAAGTGTTCTTCTGCTTTTACTCAAGTATAAGATCTGAGTACTTCTACTTTTACTCAAGTACAAGACCTGAGTACTTCTACTTTTACTCAAGTACAAGATCTGAGTACTATACTTTTACTCTAGTAAATATCTATATTTATACCACCTCTGTTTATAGCCTATGAAAAAAACTATTAGAAAACGAAGGCTAAAGCTAACGTTAGCAGATAGTGACAATGTATGCTAGCTAGCTAGCTCAACGATTCCTTAAATGATATTGCGACAGAAAAACGTTTCAGTTCACATCACGCTCTGCCGCTCTGCTCTGAACACCTGAACGGTCCGTTCTAACAGCTGTTCACCAGCGGCTCAGTCTGTGCCACAGTGACTCCGCACAGTTAACGAACGCACCGTAGATAATGTAGCTGACCCTCATCCCGGAGCAGCAGAGATCAGCCGACAGGCAGGAAGACACGAGCACACAGCTCGCGCTTCATATATTAAAAAATAACACCATGCGCGTCGTGATGGCACATAACAGCTCGCGACCGCAGATTATTTCGGCGATTCGATAAAATGTAAATTATTTGACGGAACTTTAGTTACATTTCCATGACTTTTCCAAAACGTTGGGAAAAATATTGTTTTCCATAACTTTTCCAGGGCCTGGAATTTGCATTTTGAATTTCCATGACTTTTCCAGATTTTCAATGACCGTACGAACCCTGAATATAGGCGTAGTTATGTTAGTATAAGATAATAATATGTACTTTGTTGATCCAAAATCGGGAAATTGTGTTGTTATGAAATTTAAAAAACAAATTATTTTTAATAAAAAAATTTCCCCCAATTTTTGGCGCCCCCGATGGGTTGATGCGCCCTTAGCATTCGCCTATACTGCCTATGCCAAGGGCCGGCCCTGCCTAGCACCAGGGTTGTTTCCATTCACTGAATTTCAAGTGTATTTCATCATTGCTTGTCAATAAAAGAAACATTATATTCTTGCCTCTCTTCTACGTGTTTGTAAAACCCATTGTTAGAATAATAGGCTAATATTGACACATTCTAGTGCAGAAAATGAAATAGTCCACGTCTCCACTGATCTGCTCAATAGTTGTGATCATTAAAGGAGGTATTCTGTGTGGGTACCTCTGTGCTGCAGGTATCCAGTGGACAGGTATTGCTGCACGTCTTGGTTGAAGGCTTCCTCGTACACTTTCTGTCGTTCTCTCAGTTTCTGCTTCATAGTCTGCTCCAGCTCTGCCACCTTCTGAGCATGCTCAGAGTTCAGTTCCACTACAAACAGAAGACATGTTAGTCCTCTAATCTCAAGAGTTTCACATCATACCAAGAGTTTCACATCATACCAAGAGTTTCACATCATGCCATTATCAGCAGTGTAAGGAATTACACAAACACGCTTCATAATAACTACAGGAAACAGTATTTTTCACATAGCTGGTGTGGGTGTTGGATAGTCTCCTTGGAAATTGAAAGTGAAATGATAGTAAAAACGAATTGCATGCGTTTCCTCGGGATGCTTTAGTCTAGTGGTTCTCAAACCTTTTTCAATCATGTTCCCCCTTTGAAAAAAAAATTCAGCCAAGTATCCCCTGATCAGCGCAAAAACGATTTGTTAGGGATAAAATGCCTGTATAAAGAGGTACAGTCCAGCGCTGCACCATCAGTGTCTGATTTATTAAAACAACAACAGTAACTGAGAAACACTTAAATGCTACATTTCAAATGTTTACAATCCATCACTAAATTCATGGCAAACCAATTTCAACATCATGCAATAACACTAATACGACATTAGTTGCATTGAACTGATCTTTTTAATAAGTTGTACTTACAATGTAGTGAGAACCATGGGCTTGTGCTTCACTGAGGATCTTTGTCATTCTGACAGGGAGGCTAACTGCAGTTATTACACTTCGTGTTTTTAAATATGTGTAACTCTGTTCATATAAAACCCACACTGCTCAAACTTCGTTACTTTCCCTAAAATTGATATATTTATTTATTAGGGGCGTGGGGAATGAAGAGAAACAAATATATGAGCATTTTATGAGCATGGGATTTTGACCCCTCATATAAACATATGCATAATTCTATACTTTGCGGCCACACGGCGTTGCCAAGCAACGCTTATTGTTTAGGTCCTTTGATAAGCAGGCAGTCATATCATTAACTAGAACTAGCTAGATCTGATAGATTTGGACATAAACGCGAGTGAAGTCTAACCGGACGCGAGAGAGGGATCAGAGATCAGATCAGCTGCTGCTGACGGAGAACACACAGCTCTGCATGATCACAGCTCCGCCGCTGTGACGGACCGTTGAGCGGAGCAAAATACACTAAGAGTTAGACCTTAGCTATTTAATCTACTCTGGAACTAGCTAAACTAGTTATACATATATTTATTCTTTACTGTCGGGTCACTTATTACAGGTTCAGCGAGCTGCACGAGACTGACGGGCTGTCAGGAGAGGGAGAGGAAAAGAGAGCACCCCGTTTATTTCCCCATTTTATTATCCAGAATGACTGTAAACCTTTGAATTAAGTAGTTCATCTACTATTAGTAGTTTGTTTAAATGCATTACTTATGTTGTTTTTTTTCATTAACATAAAATAAATCTCACATACCCCCTGCAGTACTCCAACGTACCCCTAGGGGTCCGCGTACCCCCATTTGAGAACCACTGCTTTAGTCTATACATCCTATGCCATGACGCATAGGCAACAATAGAGACATTAAGAAATGAGCAGTGTACTAAGGCAGTAATGTAGTCATTGTTGAGCAGTAATAACAATGTGTAATCCCCAGTGGTGTAATGTAACTAAGTACATTTACTCAAGTATTTGTACTTTACTTGAGTATTTCCACATAAAGCAACTTTATACTTTATTACATTTTCTCAGGCAAATGTTTTCTTTTTACTTCAATACATTTATTGTACATATTGAGTTATTAGTTTCTTTGCAGATTTAAGGTTTTTAGGTTATTCATACACAAATCTACAGACATTATATTAAAAGTTAAGCCACCCAGTAGTGTATAAAGTCATTCAAAGAAACCCAACCTTTACCAAGTGCAACATTGAAGTAATGAATGCAAAAATACTTTTCTAAAGTCATTTAAAATACACAGTGCTTTAACTGGCTATTTTGGCATAACGAGTACTTTTACTTTTGGTGCTTGAAGTATTTTTGAATGCTAATGATTTGAATGCAGAACTTTACATTTGTATCTGAGTATTTTTACACCGTAGTATTGCTACTTTTACTTAGGTAAATAATCTGAGTACTTCTGTGTAATCCCTGATTAGAGAACAGCAGCATCTCACCTTCCAGGGCCTCCACCTCCTTCCTGTTACAAGACAAACATCAGACAGGTTAGCATCATGTTACAGTATATCTCTGGCTGCTCAACAAACACTTTACCCATCCAGGGGGAAAATAAATGTGTTTATCTTGTCATGACCACAGCTTGTCACTTTGAGAAGTTATATGGAACAACAAAAGTCTGACAAAGTTTAATGCCTGACAGCCTCTGACACTAGATGTAAAAACACTATTCAATGATACTCAGCAAGTGTTAAGGGTCAATAACTAGCGCACATTTATGAATGATTAAACTCATAGGAGAGTGAATAATAAGTAATCTGCTGGTCATACCTCTTCTTCTTCTTGTAGGCTTCTAGTTGGTTGATATGCTGCTGTTGGACAGTCTGTTGTTCACACTGACAGCACAACGTCTCCAGGTACATCAGCTTGCTCTCCATCTCCTCAAAGTCTCCCTCCAAATGAGCTGCACACACACACACACACACACACACACACACACACACACACACACACACACACACACACACACACACACACACACACACACACACACACACACACACACACACACACACACACACACACACACACACACACACACACACACACACACACACACACACACACACACCACACACACACACACACACCACACACACACCACACACACACACACACCACACACACACACACACACACACACACACACAATTGACAATTTCTTAATTTATATATTTTACAAAATGTATTTCCATAATGGTCTTAATTCATTTTATATGTGGGGTTCCATATCTATCTTAGTTCAGGATGTCAATACTGTATTATTAAAGCTATACAGGCAGCACATACTGAGGTACAGTGGTGGAAAGTAACTAAGTACATTTACGCAAGTATTGTACAATTGTATTTGTTTTTAACTTAGGTATTACTATTTAATGGAACTACATAAACCAAATTCACTACATGTTGAACGGAAACATTGTGAACACTGCTATGTTTGAAGTTGTTTTTTAACACAGAAAACAGTGATAAATGTATCAAATATAATGCATCGTTATGTATTAAAGGTGATTTCAGTTATATTGCTGATCGTTTCTGTAAGAATATCATGTACTTGTAGGCCTTTCATGAAACATATAATTACTTCTATCTTGCTGCACGTGATAATAACTTGAAGGATTATCTTGTGTGCATAAGATCCAAAACAATGATGAAAAACTTCAGTAGCTTTAAGTCAACTGAGCACATACTTATTCATTTTTATATATTGAGTACTTTTATAATTTAAGTAAACTTTGCTGGAAATATTGAACTTTTCCTTAAGTATAATTTGGATTGCAGGACATGCATTTGTATCAGCGTATTTCTACACTGTTGTGTCGTTACTTTTACTAAAGTGAAGGATCTGAGTACTTCTTCCACCTCTGAGGTCCACTGTCGGACATTCTCTTAGTCATTGGTGGTGACGGGCGTTATCGTACAGGAATGAAACACACCGATGTTAGCAGTCATGGCGTCCAAATCGCCGATGAAGGCCGGCACGCTCTGCAGCTGCTCCTGCAGCTGGGTCAGAGCCGCTCTCTTCCTCTCCCAGTGAGCAGACAGCATCACCATGTCCCCATCTACTTCCTAACACACACACACACACACACACACACACACACACACACACACACACACACACACACACACACACACACACACACACACACACACACACACACACACACACACACACACACACACACACACACACACACACACACACACACACACACACACACACACACAGCATGAAAGAAGGACATAGCAATTAGCAAATGTAACTTAAATAGTATGTTGATTCTCTAAATTATTGCAAATAAAGTTACATCGATTGTTCAATTCATGTCGCAATTCGATTTAAGGATCTCATTTGATAATGTGTTTCTTTTGCAGGATGCCTAAAGCTTTTGATGTGTTTTTTTTTAAAGCTCTTTGAATTGCGTTGTTATTGAAGTGTGCCTTATAAATAAACGTGCCTTATCTAAGTATTAGTATCTTAGTATGTGCGGAGTGTGTTTCTCTGAAATGTCCAGGTTTGAGTATAAAATCCAGTTTTTCCATCACTTGACTGTAGCTAATGAAAAGCTCCAACTGGTATCTGACAGCATTCTTTGAAACTGCTTCACCCACAACACGATGTATTCTCATATTATCTTCAAGATCCATGAGCACAGGCTCAACACGGCCCCAGAAGAAGCTTTTCTCTACAGTCAATCCTTCACGGTGTCTGAAGGAGTGTGTGTGATCCTACCTCTGCAGCCTGAGCACAGTCCTTAGTTCTTCTGTGGAGCAGAAACCAGCTCTCCTCATACCTGAAGAGACACATTACACAGAAACACATAAGTGTGAGCGTGTGTGTGTGGTTTTGTTCGTATGTGTGTGTGTCTGTGTGTGTGTAGTCATGCAAGGTAAAGTGTGTTTCTATTGTTGTGTGTGCTGTGATGCTTGTAGGTGTGTGGGTGGTGTGTGTGAAAAGGTGTGTGTTGTGTGTGTACGTTTCTGTGTGAGTGGTTGTGTGTGTGTGTATGTGTGTGTGGTTGTGTGTGTGTATGTGTGTGTGTATATGTACATGTGTGTGTGTGTGTGTGTGTGTGTGTGTGTGTATGTGTATATGTATGTGTATGTGTGTGTGTATATGTATGTGTATATGTGTGTGTGTGTGTATATGTATGTGTGTATATGTACGTGTATATGTGTGTGTGCAGAGACGTGCACACATAGACTCTAGGTAGTGCTTGAGCACCTGCCCGTGTTGCCCTCTGACAGCAATGTGCCCTTTTGAAAGTTCGTTTTTTACAGTTCTTTATTTAATTTTTGTACAGTGTACTGTATGTGGCTCATGGTAACATCGATCAATTCTGGATTAAAAGCTTCTAATATATACAACAATGCCCCAAATGCGCGATGTAATTTTGTCAGACATCCCCACGCGTGCCCCGCGGCACTCCCGTACGTGCCCTGGCTGCAGCCCCTCCCTTCCCTGCTCTCAATGTGAACGCGCAGAGCAGACAGTCAGTCACTCAGTCAGACAGGCCACGGCGAGTGTGTGGTGCAGCAGCACGCAGCAACACGATTAAAAGTGCCCTAGTGACGACCAAGTAAGTAACCACCAGGTAACAAATACAACGAGTGTATTGTTTAGTCCCCTAAATCAGATGCCAAACTAAACTAAAACTTTACTTCTTTTCTTGCATCCATCCATTTAGTCTCGTTGTGCACTTTTGAAAATAGCAGATCTACACGCTCACAATGCGTCATTATGCTAGGGCTGAAGTGATTAAATGTATGTTTTGTAATAATCTTAATCAAAATCTACATAGTAACTAGTAACTAAAGTTTTCAAATAATTGTAGTGGAGTAAAAGTAGAATATTTGCATCTGAGATGTAGTGGAGTAGAAGTAAATGTATTGAAAATGGGAAATACTCAAGTAAAGTAAAAATGCCTCATAAAGTAGGCCTACAATATAAGTAGTAGTAACCTTATAGGTTTACATTAATGCTGCTGTTAAATGTTTCTAGGAGATTAACCCTTAATTATCATGCACAGCAGAGCAGTACATTGATTTAGCTCATTTGCATTTACCACTTGTAGAATAATGCCAAGAAGAGACAGGATAAGAAAAGAAAAGAGAGCTACAGCAGGCAGCCCTGGGGAAGCAGCTCTCTGCTCTCCTGGGTAAAGCAGCCTGAGCCTACCAGCAAGGAAGTTGAGGATGCAGATGTGCCTGATGAACCCTTACCCATCATCAATGATGAAGATGAAGAAGAAAGGTCAGAGTCAATACCAGAGTCATGTTAAGGGACACACTGTCTGTCTAGAGCCCTTTCATGCTCAGATTTGAACTGTGATAATAATAGTAGTAATAATAATAATAATAATAAATAATAATATAATTGTATTGAGAGGCCCACAATTTATTTTAACCACACTAAGTGATACTAAATCAGACATGAAGCTACTTACCAAATGACAAAAAAACAACAACTATGTGATAGGGTGTTGAATTTTGGCCATGACAGTTAAAGTCTGGTGAGTCTTAATGTTATCATGCATTGCATTGCCTTACCCAAATAATTGAAATAAACATCATATTCTATATTGTTTGTATTCTAGGCAGCTACAGCAGGCTCAGGGAAGCAGCCCCCTGCTGTCCTGCAATAGTCCATCTAAGATGAGGGAGACAAATCCATAGAAAATATCTCTGAGTCAGACACAGATGAAGCAGAAATGTCAGAGTCCAGAGCAGCAACATGTTCAGAAACAGTGCTCTCTGATGATGACCAAAATGAGGGAGAGATGGAAGGAGTAACCAAAAACCGAAAATAAACTAACAAAATCCGCCATTATCCGGCAAATTTTCGCGCACAATTTCGCGCGCGGGCGAACGCCAGACCGCCACGACGACTCAGAAGGTGCCCTTTTTTTTCCTCTTGAGCACCTGCCCCTATAAATGTCTGTGCAGTGTGCACGCCACTGTGTGTGTGTGTGTGTTTGTGTATGTGTGTGTATATGTACATGTGTGTGTGTGGTTGTGTGTGTGTATGTGTGTATATGTACGTGTGTGTGTATATATGTGTGTGTGTGTGTGGTGTGTGTGTGTGTGTACCTGCTGAGTATGTCCAGTCCAGCACTGAAATGAGGAAGGCTCTCTTCAAACCTGAACAACAAACAGGAGGACAGTAAGTGAGTAATGGAAAGAATCACATGACGGATGATTTCATATCTCACAGCTGTGACCTAAGCTAAACCCTGTTTTAAACAACAAAGCAAACAGTTCAGGCTCTTCAAAACCAATTGTATTTGTTGTAATAAAATAAGAGTCCTATCGTCTTCTTCTGAAGCAACAACATGATTGGCTCTTTGGTGAGCGTGTAGCTCTTCTTCTTCTCTGAACGTATTGTTGGACTGCACCACGTACTGGTCACAGCTGCACATGAGGGGTCAAGGAAAGCAATCTGGCTTTGTATTATTGGATAATAATGTGTTGGCTGTGATTTTATTGTACCAATAATACATAATAATATAATATGCATTTACAATTATCGGTTGTTACATCCCTCACTGTATTATTACCCGTTGTGTAAGAGAATGTATACACTAGCAATCCCAAAGTCAACATATGTTAACACTTTATTCATCTGTGATCTTCCAACAGGTTGCCACGCACGCACGCAGGCACACACACCTGGGTCTTCTCCTGACTTTGGTGTCTCTTGATTTGTCTCCAAGGGTCTTGAAACTGAAGGGAGGAAAAGAGGAGACAACTGAAGACAGTCAGGATGAACATGTCTTTGAACACCAAGATAAAAAACATTGAAAATGGACTCAGTATGTTTCTCATTCAACTATCCCCACGCATGGCAGTGGGACTTGTTCAGAGTGGCTCCTGATACATGGACAGAAAGAGCCTCTGAGCAACAGCATCCCACTGTTGTCTGCTATAATGTGCAAATACTTATATATATTCAATGTGGTATATATACAGTCTATGGGTAGCACCAGTGGTGTAAAGTAACTAAGTACATTTCCTCAAGTACTGTACTTAAATCCACTACATGTATTAATACCTTCAGTTACTTCACAGATCTGGATGAACTATGTGAAATATAACCAAGTGTTGAATCAGACTTTAGTTCCACCTGGAGTAAATCCACCAGCTACCCTGCAGTATACAAAGTCATTCAGACTAGCTGCACCTTCACCAGCTCTGAGAACCCTTTCGGGCAGGAGCTCCAACAAGGCGTGTAGGACAGAGAGTGAATACACAGACTATACAGAGATGCTGTGAGAAACCAATGTGAGTTTGGAACATTGCACAATTTAAATCTATTCTACTAGTAGACCTCAACAATGGAATTATGATCAGTAGAAATGGCCATGACATGGGACCTTTAATACTTTTGTACTATTATTGAGTAACATTTTGAATGCAGGACTTTTACTTGTAACAGAGTATTGCTACACTCTGGTACTTCTACTTTTATTTAGGTAGATGATCTGAGTACTTCTGGGTACCACACATAGCACAATAGCAGAAGGTCTATCTTTACACTCAAGTATGTATATGAATGTATCTGCTTGAGTTTGACATTATGACTAAGAGGGACTTTGACAGTCAGACGGTGAGTCAAATAACATTTCCTGTTTTCTTTGCGTCTTTTAAATAAATATCATCATTTGTTTTTCATCTGTATTTATCATTATTAGTCCTTGTATCGCAGACTGGATGTGGACTAACAGTGTTCACTGTTATAGAGAACAGCTCATCACATGACTGTCAGCTGAGTGATCTCCAGCAGCAGCTCCAGTAGCACCGAGCCAGTTAGCACGTAACACTGCGACTGGTAACGTAGTGACGAGCAACATTAACAACAATAAACTACTGTTTCAATCATGGAAATGTGTGCTATGAAATAACCGTACAGTTTTAGAAAAGAGATGCAGCAGAATGAAAGCTGGAGTTAGCTAACCTTATCAACCATATCATGTCATATGTATACCATATCATGGGTATGTGTAAACCATGTCATAGATGTTCGTGTATCATTAAGTGTACATGTTTCAATATGTCAAGTGTAAAGCTAACATAACGCTATCTGATGCAGATGCAGGAGGTTATCTCAGCTAGCTAAAGCAGCTCGGAACGGCATGAGAGAAGAGGACCAACCCCGTAGTGAAATCTTGCTGGACCATGTGGAGTCTTTCTCTGAAGTTTTCGAACATGATTCCTCGCAGTTAGTCTCACGTTTCGCATGAAAGAGCTTTAACCTGCTGTCACACTGCTGCTGTGCACAGGCAGCTAGCTGGATACTGTTAGCTGGAGGATGTTTATTTCGTTGTTTAAAGCGTGTGATATTTTCCCTGAGCTGAGTCTCACAGGCAAACCCTCGACTCCTCAGAATCGACGTTCCTACACAGCAGGGTCTGAGAGAAGCAATTTTCCGCTGGCGTACGGATATACAGCCCGACAGAGTCTGCCTGGACCTCCCTATACGATACCCCACCACTCTGAAATCTTTACCAAAACCGAAACAAAGCTACTGTCTGTGAGTCTACAGAAAGACCTACTTGTCTGCCTGAAAGTCTTAGCTCAGGAACAGAATAACAGGTTCCTCTCTTCCACTGTAGGTTGTGTCAAGGGAATAGTGCACTACTCGTGAGACAATTATAGTTCACGTTATTTATAATGAAGCGATTTATCAAACATTTATTTTATAAACATCCACATATCATTTCACCCACTCCAGCCAAACTGCATCCTTTCTTTTCAGCTCATTCTATTATTATTACTTTACCATGTGATTAGAAAACAAATGAATCAACACAAATATGTTTCCTGAGTGATAGGTTACCTGCGTTGCACGTAACCATACCCAGCATGTGATTGAGTTTGTATAAGCATGTAGTGAATAGTTAATGAGGGACATTATACATTCTAAGCTAATAAAACAAATCTTAAAGGATATATGCTGTGCAGAGTCAGACAGTGTGAGTAAAGACACGTTTAAAGGAACACACCTGCTCAACATTTTTACAAAAAAGTAATAGTCTTGCTGTTTTCCGTAATGGTTTTACACATTTCTTCTAAAAGGCAATAACATAAAAGCAATGTTTTACTATCTAGTTTTGGAAAAGGGGGTATTTTACTTTGACTGAAAATGAATGACATCACATGTGCTTTTATCAGCCAACACATTATCTGAATCATGAATTAGAACACTTGGAATTGTAGGTTTTAAATAAGGAATTGTGATATCCTGAGAAGATCCCTTGGAAGGTAAATCAATCCTTCTGATAAATATGCAAAAAGAATTTATTGCAAATTCCATTAAAATTATTCACATTTACAGACTTTATACAGTTAGTTTGATGTAGTTGCACAAATTCACGTTCTTAATCCCTTGGAGCTGTAAGAGTTTGCTCATTTTACTTCATGAATACACAATAAACAACTGACTGACAACTTCAAAAAAATGTTGCATTAACTAGAATGAGATCAATAATATCCATGGTCGGGAACAGAGACATGACTCCATTTGTTTGTAAGTGAGAACTCTCCCACTGGTCAAAGGAGCAAGCTCCAAGGCTGTAGAGAAAATACATGAAACACTGGAGGCGTCTCAGCACATGGGAGTTATGGCCATTCAGCCAACAGAGTCATAGAAACATGTAGGGCCTTGATGAAACATCCATCAAATGTTAGTGGGAATTCTCCAGAGTCATACAGGATGAACCTGCTTCAGGAAGTAGATTGTCTGCAATGATGTTGTGTTTCTACTTTGTCTATAGCTACAGAGAATGGCTGACTATGTAATAATGATTAACCATGAGTTCACAAAGGGTACAAACGCCTAGAATGAAGAGAATCAATACAGTTTTTAAAATACCAACCAGGACAACATTCCTGATACTAAAAACTGTTATTAGCAAACAGTCTGGAATAAGGCATTTCCATAATGTAGTTATAAATAAATTAGTAACTACAACAAACATGGTTTGTTTTAGTGTACAAGAAAAATGTAGTATGGAATTAGTTTTATCCTTTGATGCCCTAGTGTTATAGAACCTTTGAGCAATGCTTCACATTGACATAAAGAGCTTTCACTTCATCGACAAATCTATTAATACACGTCCTTTAAAGTCAGTTATAATGAACGCAGTTTACTGTACATTTTATTTAATCATATTCTAACAATTATACATAATGTCAGTTTATGGATTCTTAAAGTTCCACAGCTGAGAGGGGTTATAACATGAAACTGAATGATGTTTTTAAGCAAACTAAGTTTACCTGATAAAACATATTATATGGAAAAAAGAAATATGAACCCATACAAACACTTCCCTGTGTAAGAATATCATGTTACTGTTGTCCAACTTAATGACTTAGACGGCCAGCTTATGTTGGAAAAACAGAAAGATAAGCCTCTCCCACTGTGTATTTTATCACTATTTTTATTTTGGAGTCACTCAAACAGGTGTAATATGCTTTATATATACAGTCTATGGTAATATGTTGGTCCTTCACACACAGGGGCTTTACTGTGAGGTCAAGTGAAACATTAATTAATAAAAGGTATAACATTTTAACTCTATTTTATTCAACCTCCCAAAATAGCTCATGGGGAAGCTAATAGCACCTACAGCACCTGATGTCATCCTGAAACCGTAACCAGTATCAGTACTCGTGATGTTTGTGGCCAGTCATTTATAGTGTGAATGCCATGTGGGGGGGGCATGTCCCCAGAGTAAAGGACACCTCAGAATCTAAACAGTCCTGAACAGATTATTCCTTTCTGAATGCAATGGCAGACAAACTAAACAGCAGACCCACTGCAGTTTTAACTGTGTGCCTTTCAGATACAGCAGGGCAGTATCTGAGAAGAATTGGGAGGAGGGATGAAACCCTCTTTTAATGGTCACAGTGAAATGTGTTCTCTGCATTTAACCCATCCTAGTACCAGGAGTCTGGTACTAGGAGCAGTGGGCAGCTATTGTACAGCGCCTGGGGAGCAATGGGAGTGAGGGGGGGTGTCCGGTGCCTTGCTCAAGAGCATCACGGCAGGGCAGGAGGTGAACTGGGACCTCTCCAAGTAGCAGTCCACACTCCATATTTTAGGTCTGGTCAGGGACTTGAAACGGCGACCCTACGGCTCACAGTCCAAGCCCCCACTGACTGAGCCACTGCTGGTGACATACTGATCAATCCCTTACACAACTTGTCTGCCATTAGGCTGTGAAAAGTGTTGGAAACACACTGTCCTTTAACTTGCTATTTACTTTATTGAGAAATGTGTTTGTCATAAGATCATTATCAGGTAAAACCTCACCTTTAAGCTTTACCTCATGTAGATCTTGGGTTGGAACATTGTTTTTATAAATAAAGTTCTATGCAAGTAAAGGACTGTGTGGGAAGTCTGTCTTCACTCGCTTATGGACATTTCCTCCTACGGACCTGTCTGCGCGAAACGGAAGGTGTTCATGAGCCTTCATTGTCTAAACCATTAAATAATTCAAATGATCCCAAAGTTATTGACATGTGTAGTGAACAGTACACATCTCACTATCCAAGCAGCCAAAACCCCTGACCATGCTGTGTTTATAGTATCAGTACATTACAGTATCCAATGTTATTTAGAACATTTTGCTAATCATCAATTTCTTAATATAGTTAATCAGGTGTTGTTAGCGCCTCTGAAGGATTCTAGGGCTGCTTCTGGTCTTAATGGCTGAGGTAGTAGACTTGGTCTGGGTGGGGCCCTTTGCAGAGCCCCTGGAAGTGTTGGAATAACTACTGACAGCTGGACAGTCCTCTGTTGAGTCCTCTGTGGTACCCTTAGAAGAGTCTTTTACAGCACCTTTGGAATTCAGGATTGTGGAGCATATGCTGGATGGTGAAGTACACTTGGTCATGTCCTTGCTAGTACATGTGTTAGTGCCCTTAGCAGTTTGCTTGGCAAAAACACTGGCTGGTGGGTTACTGTGTGTGTGTGTAGAAGTCAATGAGTTCATAGCAACTTTAATGGCAGTAGTCCTCCTCCTGGAATCAGCAGTCCTGGTCATTAGTCTGGGGACAGTCTGATTTCTCTGGAGCCTTCTGTCTCTCACATGTCTGCTGATGACCTCACTGACGGGGCCTAGCTCAGAGTTTGCGATCATGGTGGAAAGGTTGACCTCTTCTTGAGAAGAGACGGCGGACAAAGTTTCAACATGTTTGTCTTCACTAACGCCACAACCCCTCTCTACTGTCATCTCTCCAACACAGCCACATGTGTCCTGTGGAAGGTCTTCAGTGATTTCACTTATGTGGCCTGCAGACGCTTCTCTTACATCTGCATCACAGCTGGCCTCCCTCTGAGGGATCTCCCCAACATGGCATTCCCTCTCCTCTGGGACATCAGCATGGCTGCACTGCACTGTCCTGGCCTTCTTTGAGTTCTTGTTGTTAAGAGGGGTGGGGCTGGTGTCGGGGGGGAGGCCTCTCCTTCTCCTGGATGACCTCAGAACCTCAGGGTTCTCAGTGAGCACTCTAATCGCTGAGCCATTAGTCACTGGGGTTTGAGTCCTGCTGGGACGTCTTCCTGAGTTCTGCACACTGCTGAAGGTCTTGGGGTTTCTGGATTTGTCTGGGGTGGTGCGGGGTTGTGGAGGAAGGCGGTGGTTGCGAGGCAGCTGGTGTTTGCTGCGCTGGGTGAGGTGTTTGTTTTTGGCTTCCTGGAGTCTGGGTTTACAGGTATTGCTAGGCCTGGGGGAGCGTCTGCTGGCTCCCCCGGAGCTCGGCTTTAATATGGGAACTGACCTGACACAGGAAGCTCTTTGATCAGAAAGTCCAGTCACCATGGAAACCTGCAATAGAAAGAGAACATTTAATTTAGCTGATACTTGTATCCAAAAAGACCTCCGGAGCACCTCAGTGTCAAGTATACAGACACAGGTCACACACCATTGGGTTCAGTATCTGGCTGAAACTTCCACATGTAAGCTGCCATTTTCAATTACCCCTTCCTTGTAATCTTGTTAGAGAAAAAGTCAAAATAATTGATGTGAAGAAAAAGTAATTGATGTGTACTCGATAATCACGATTATGTTGATAGATATTGAGATCACAATTATTTATCATGATCATTCGTTAGTGAAAGTGACAAAATGTTTTTATTGAGATCATGATAAAAGAGAGCATGATGGCTGTGTCAAGACATGAATATAATGATATCAGCATAAAACAGATGTGAGGCCAGTGACACAGCAGCACACTCAGCTTGTGGAACGGGATTCAGTAAAGGAGACATCAATGAAGATATGATCAAAGGTGGCCATGACATGAGCTGCTGGTATTATTCTTCAGATCGGTCATGTCTTATGGGGAGCTGGCCCATCACACTGGGATTGGCCAGCTCTCCTGATGGAAGAAAGGAACTTTTCTATAGCTCTCTTTTTCTCCAATCTAATACACTTTTTATCTATCACATACAGTGAACTTTAGACTCCACATTGTACCAGTTCTAGTATTAGAGGCAGAGGTCAGCTACTATATACCCAGCGCTCGGGGGACAGTGTGTCAGGTGAACGGGCCCCTCTCAAAGTACCAGTCCACACTGGGGTCTGTTGGGAAACTTGACCAGGTCCCTTCAGACTGAGAAACAATGAGGACAGCTTTAGACAGAGCAGCATGTAGAAAGATGGTCAGACCTGGTCTGTCCTCCTGACCTGCAGGGGGAGCTGCCGGGGTCTCAGCAGGTGTCTCTCAGCTCCCCCCTCTCTACTCCTCCTCTCTCTCTCCCTCCTCCTCTGTGCCCGGGCGCTCAGAGGGCAGAAGGAGCCCCCAGCTGCATAGCCGGCAGGCCCCCCCCTCAGAGAGCGAGAGTCCCGCTGCACTGTGGGACAGCAACACACACACAGAGGCACCAAGACAAAAGAGAAAAATATGAATAAAGCATTTTATGGGATACATTAACCTACCATTTTATTCAAAGCTGTGTGTATAATGGCCCTGACACAGCAATACACACATTAAAACAAAGCAGTGTTTGCCAACACAATGAGTCTATATGTATGAATCTGACTTTTGTCATTTCGTTAGGGTGTCACTTTGAATGGGCCTCGGGTTAATTGATGACAATGATAATAAACTTTCATGAAGACTCCTTTGTGTTAATGTGCTTGGTGGGTGTCGTGTCATGGTTATGCACACTCCTTCAAATCAAACGTTACTGACCTTTAAAACCACACGTACAGAGACTGATGTGTCTGTATTTCAGAAACGACAGCAGCATACAGGCAGCTGAGAGGAGGAGTACCTGTTGTTCTGCTGAAGAGGCTTGTGTTATTCCCCTGTGCTGCAGTCTTGTGATTGGTTGGGAGGCAGGAAGTAAGATGCTGAGTGCCAGCTGGCTCCTTCGCTCGTCCACTCGCTAAGAAGCCCATGTTGCTAGGCAACGCTGCTGAACCTGAAGTAAAAGAGGAAACACCTTAATTGATGCTGGAGGAGATACAGTATGTCTGCCATAAAAAACTGTGGCAGACATACTCAACTCTTTTTTCCCCTTATTCAGCAAAACACTCTCCTTCATAAAACCAGGGTTTCAGCCACATGATTTTACACTTAGATTTGGAAGCATATCAGATAACACTAAAACTGATCCAGATCTTCAAACCCTGAGAAAGGCTCCACGGATTGCAGATGAATTTAAACACTGCAGTGCAGTGCTCTTTGTTCAGCATTAACACAGTATACACAGTAGTATGTCATATGACAACATGGAACTGAGCTCCTGGCATTAACAGCCACACATCAGTTCAGACCGATATACCTATAGTTTTTATATTGCTGCAGGAATGAGTCCTAAAGCACACGAATGACTGAGTGAGTGTTTTTGCACTTAATGTTCCCTTCTCTCAAAGTACATGTTTTTACGTATTTTATTAAATGGTTCTACCACATAAAGCACATCAGTAAATACCCCATTATATGAATGTTGCAGCGGTGCTGGCTGAAGAGATGGGAGTGACAAAGCTGTAGACCAGATACCTGAGCAGAATCAATAACACGTGTTGGTTTCCACAAACCCTCTTCTCCTTCTGTCCTTCTTTAACTGGGTGAGCAGGATACCTCACAATAAGGATAACTCATCCACTCACTAGACTGCCTCATTGTGTTAGAATTTTAAAAGGATGCGAGACTGCCAATTGACAAAACCATGAACCCAGCTACATCCGGTCATTCTTAGAAGAAACGTTTTACAAGATAAAATATCTGGGATTGAATTTACACTTCAAAAAACATAGTGTGCAGCATCATAGACATTTTATGCCAGAGCTTATTTTCTGCAATAATCCAAAAGAACCAGGTCAGTGCTGCAGGGTTGAAAACATACTTCTTCTCCTTTTAGCTTACCTCTCAGACAGAGAAAGGACAGGAAGTCCTCGGTCTTGGGTCGCCTCCTCGTCAGACAGGTGACCACCGCCAGGTTGTGTGCGTGCTTACCTCGTGCTGATGACATCATTGCTGGCGGCCCTGGAGAGCTGGGAGGGGACTGAGCGAACTTCCTCTGCGCCTGCAGCCGGGGTCTGCACACACAGTGGACTACAGCATAAAAACCATGAATATATGGATGACAGATATCATTTTTGAGTTGAAACAGAATTAATAATGGTTAGAAGAATAAATTATCTAGCTAGAAGGCTTAATTTGTAAACACAATACAAACAATTCCATTCTTTTTAAAAAGGGAAAAAGAAGGTGGGAAATTGTTTGATTATAAAAAAGTGGACATGTTTCTGAGTTTGTCCAAAAATAGGATTATTAAACTCTTAAGAAGAGAATATTTTAGTGGCTTGTGCTCTAATAGGCCCCCAGTGCACACTGTTATGACAGGCCCTTATCCACGCTCAACATAATCACAGAGTATACAAGGGACCAAGTACATTATTAAACATATCAGCTACGAACCAGCAGAAGAAACGTCAAAGAAGCAGCACTGGTGTAGCCATAAAAAGCTGGAGAAGCGGCGGGTGAGAGACGAACTGTGTGTTTAGAGTCATACAACTTGCTATTCGTGGCGCACGTTAGAACGTGCGTTCTAGTTCAGTGTCATTTGTTTGTTTGATGTCCTCAAGCTAGTGATGGCGAGATGAAGCCTTATGAAGCTTTGCTTTGAAGCTTTTCAGCCAATTGGTTCGCAAAAGGGTTCATCTCATGAGGCTTCATTTGAACACAAACCCCCCTGTTGGTCAAAGTGTGTAAAACAGGCAGATTGGACATCTCAACAGTGTGCTCTATCTCAGTGGTTCTCAAGTGGTCAGGCCTCGGGAGTCGGGACCCACTTTTTCCTTAGTCAATAGATCGCGACCCAAAATGTTGAACCACTCAAATCTATTCAACAAAAAATCCTGCAGTAATATATACGCTTTGCAGTATACAATATTAATTAAAGTGAAGTACAGTGCATATATCCCTTATATCCCTTCACAGAACTAAATAATGCTTTTAAATAAGGTTTAATGAGATGATGGAATCAAAGCTGAACTGTATAACATAAAAAGGCACACATGCTGAAAACCCAACCCCAGAAGGGGGGGATTCTCCCCCAGGAGATTTTTTGAAATACTAACATATAAATTACGCATTCTGGTACACTCTGAGAAGAAAATAATTAGATGTATTACGACATATTAATAATATTTTATGCCATTGTTTGTTTTTCACTTTGTTCTGACAGCTTGCTGCTCCTCACAGAGAGAAGAGCAAAGAGGAGAGAGTCTGTGTGAATTACTTTAAATTGTGGGTTAGGGTAGATCGCTCCCATTGTTCTGTGACCTGTCAATCATCAAACCGGGGGGCATATTTCATTATGTGTTCATTTTTATCTGAAGTTGTACCTATGGATGTATAAAGAATAGTTCTACCGCAAAGTTATTCTCCGCGGGGACTTCCGGCAACAATCTTGATTCTGATTGGCCAGAAGACTCGAAAAAACATCAGCAAATTATGTTTTATTGAGAAGATGTTCACTACGTGACAGAAGTTTTCAAAACTGTTTATGGTCTCCGGTACTTCCAGTCCAACGCCTACTGCATGCACAGCGTTAGAAAATCGGGCCTTCAAAATAAAAGTTTGACTTTTTCTCACACATCTGCGACCCACTCGAAACGGGTCCGCGACCCACTTTTGGGTCGCGACCCACCAGTTGAGAACCACTGCTCTATCTCATACCGAGTTCCCAATGAGTAAAGCCTTAGAATAACTCTAAACAACGAACATTAAATCATATCTTCATGTTAACAATATTGTTTTTATTCCAGTTGAATGATTGTGATTGAAAATCCTAAGGAGGCTGCTAAACATTGCAAAGAGGGATTTGTATTCCTTAATAATATTCGTAAACTTAACCATGTTGTAGCCTGAGAAAGGCTAAACCATATCAAAGAATACATTTATTAACTACATTATCTCATTTAGCTGTAGCTTTTATAAACAACAACAAATACGTATTGTTCAGTCGTTGAACCAGGGACCCTGCGGTCATGAGTCAACTGCTTTCCAGCTGAGCCACAGCACACACACTAAAGCTCCCTGAAAACACTGCAAGATATGTATTCCTGTATTTATTCATGTTTTTATTCCTACATTTATTTATGCTTGTATCTATTTATACTTTTGACCTGTTCCGACCTCTATATGAGTCTGAGTCCTCTATGAGTCTGAGTCTGAGCTCTCTTGATTCCATCGTGTCACCAGCGGGCCCGGGTACAGGAGGGGTAATATGGTTCTTATTATACATCCATGAGTATGAACCTTTATATATACAGTCTATGGTATGAACGTTGTGGTTCAATGGTTCAACGGATCTGAATCGCTTCGTGAAGCAGTCACGTGGTATCGACAGGCAGCGAGGCTTCGTTTGTCATCGATGACGTCACTGGCCGAAAACCAAAACGATACAAGCCTCGGTACATGCTTCACAAAAAGCTTCAGGGATTACTCGACACACGCTCCGAAGCCTCGGCGCAATACGTAACATCACTACCTCAAGCTAAAGCAACATGATTGTTGATTTAAAAACGAATATGATTTGTTTATTGAGATATGTAGATTGATAAAAACGGTTTGAATGCTGCTAAGAATTCAGTCTATTATATTTGCATTTTTAATGAGACTGCATATGTTAAAAACATAATTCATAAAAATACACTAAGAAAGTAAAAACAATATTCACAAGTGTTAAAAGTATATGTAAAGCATGTATTTTTGCATTTATTATTTCATGTGCATTGTATTTACAGTAATTATTTTTTATTTAAGGTTTTTTACCTTACAACCTTGTTACTACATAAGCTGTACTGCAACAACAAAAACTAAAGTAAAGGAGAACTCAAAAGAAAACAAAGTGGTGGTCATTGTACGAGTGAAACCCAGTTAAAAACCTCCTATGGACTGTACCATCCCTTTCAAGCGGGGAAACTGCAAATATACCCAAGGGCTTGACACTCACTAATCGATACAATGTGATCACGATAAAATTGTACCCCTATATATTATTAAAGACGGATTATAACAGAAAATTGAAACATTTCTGTTATTTTTCAGACATAAATCACCAAATTATTGTTTCCCTATTTTTTCTATATTAAGTAATCCCTTTTTATTTGCAAGATAGGGTATAGACTGCGCAAAACAATGGATATCTTCTTTTTCTTGGTCAAAGTCAAACTGAAAATATATTTTTCATAAAAACCAAAGAAATACATTTTAAACAAATTCCAAATCTATCAATCTCCTCACACATTTCATGTTCTGATTTAGGGATGTCAAAAGTAGGTAGCACCCTCTGTCATGAAAAAATAGTATTGCTATTCATTTTCTGTCATGAACCTGAACATGCAAAAACACACACAGTGATGACCCTGCAGCTGACCTCTTGCTGGACGAGTCGTCCCTGTGGCGGTGGAGGCCGGCCGGGCGGAGCTGCGTCTGGAGGGAGAGGCTCCAGCGGGCCGACAGCACGGACTGACAGCCGCTGATGCTGCCATTAACCAGGGAGCCTGAAGGCAACAGGAAGAACTTATATGAGGCTCTTCCTTAGTTCCAGAGATTATTATAAACACAATGAATGTGTCTGGTGTGGCAGGAAATATGAAATGCAATGACACTTAAAATAAATCAGAACATTTGCTCAGAATACAGGGAGAACGAGCATTCAGACAATAAGACAAGGGTTCCAACTGAAGGTGAAAGGAACAATTAGAAAAGGAAACAAATTCCAGTTACACTTCCTGCTTCAGCTTGGACGTAGTCTGATCACTGTAGCCGGCATGCAACGTTGCTGTGCAGTCAGGGATTCTGGGTAACATTCACCTTCAGTCTGACCTCCACATGCTACTCTTACCGAAGGACCAAACTGGGATAATCTTTGAAGTTTTCCTGACATTGGCTTTGCTACTACTAAATGAACAGCTGTGACTAATAGAAGAGGAGAAGAAGAGCGTACTGACCCCTGAGGCGTGTGGGGAGGTGTGAGCGCAGCGTCCTCGGGGGGGTAGCAGCCTTCAGCAGTGTCTGTGTGTTCTTCACTGAGTGTTTGTGCTGGGCAACATGTGTGTGTTTTGCACTTTCTGCGTGTTTTGAGTTGAGCAGCGGCAGTGTTTTATGCGAGCGTAGTGTCCTGGTGGATGCAGCATTCCTCTGGAGTGTGTGTGTATTATCTTGTGTGGGTTGTACAGTGTGTGCCATTCTCTCTGATTGTGTTTGCATGTTCTGTTGGGTGGACGTACATTTATTTCTTGGTGTGCATGAGTCCTGAGACACGTTATTTTTTCGCCCTTTGTTGGAGTCTCCATGGGGGGGTTTTGAAATGTGCATATTTTGTGTGTTTTTCTGTGTGTGTGTGATAGGTGGTCTTTGTCGTGGCGTGTGCACACTCTGTCTTGTGCGTGTGTTTTGCTGCTTGTGGGTTTTTGGCAGTGTCCGTGTCTTTCGCTGAGCATGAAGGAGAGTATTTTTAGTTGTGTGCTTGTGTGCACGCGTGTGTATGTGTGAGTTTCTTTGTGTGGCACGGTGTGTGTCTCTGAATTCCCTGAGGGACAGGAAGAGGACTTTGCGGACGAGACGTTCTTCACACCACGGCATCCCGTCACTGATGTCCTGCAGAAAGTCACAAACACCATCAACTATTACAAACAGAACACACTCAAATGGATTATCCACAGGGAAATGCCAAAATGAAAGCACACATTTAAACCATTTGAAAATCTACAACAGTTATTAGTACCACAGTCCTCCACATATCATTTGAGGCAGTAGTCTAAACTTGTATCTATCATCTATCTATCGATGATATATAGTGCAAAACACTGATTTTGTATTTATTTTATTGCTGGGCAAATGTATTTATTTTGTTCTCTGTGGCCATGTTGTGGGAATGTTTGAATTTGTAATCTCTAATGTTTGTGTTGTGATTGTAGTAGCCTTGTCTGTCTTTTATTTGTGACTTAATTTGGTATTTGTCATTTTTTTAAATGTTTGTACTATATGCTAGGAGCCCCGTTAAAAACGAAATGGTTCATCTCAAGGGGTTTATCAAATAAATACATCTTACTGGAATAAAAACTGAAATGTGAAGGACTACAGTATGAACAGAGAGAGAGAGGGCTTCTGTGTGTACACTAGGAGTCTTAACTACGCTGTTCATCTGGAAACCAACACCGACACGCAGTTCCATGTGAGGGTAGACTGTTTGTACTTTATGATAAATAACTATAAATAGCTGTTCAGGAAGGCCAAAGATATGTCATTTAAAAACAGCCCGTTCATTCAATAGTTTGTCCACTAGAGGGCACTCATGTACGACCATTGGTTACAATTTCAATCTGAATAATTGTTAGTTTACAGTACAAATCAGCTGTTCTTACAATGGCTAACTACATTATGTTAAAGTAAGATGATGAACATGGAAAACAACAGCATGTCAATATGCTCATTATGAGAGTTTTTAAAGACGTATCTATAGAGTTATCAGCTTTGAAACTCAGTATGAGTCCAGCTTTACTTTATGCTCAGCCACACTGCTATGCCTTTAGGCCAGATCAGGCAAGTTTATGTAACTGTGTCCAAGAAGCATCAGAGAGAATAGACACCTTCTTCTTGCCAGAATGATAGAGGATGCATGCTGGATGTAATAATCAAAATCTTTGTGGAAGCAGATGCAAATGTGTTCCTGTCCTTATCCACCATATTACCTGTATTTATCCATGTTATCAACATGCTGCTCTGCAATAGTAATCCTACATCTACAACTCATAGCTCTAGCATGCATCAACTAAACGCATTATTCTCATGAATTGGAAAGTCAGAAAGCCCAACTGATTCAACTGAAATAAATGTCTGGAGGACTTTCTGAAGCTTTTAAACATGGAAGAAGCTGCATCCTCGCTTTCAGATTTTGATAGGGGAGATAACAGGTTCTGGGTAACAATAAGGTTATTTACTGGACCTAAACCATCTTGGCCGCTCCCCTTTGTAAAAAAAACAACCACACAAAATCCAACAAACTGTTCAATCTGGGCCTGAATGTTAAAGCCTGTTAAAGGGCCGGATCATGAGTCTAATGTAAAGTTATACATTTTGAAAAGTAAAATAAAATAGAGAAACTAATAATCAAAGAATATTTATGTCATGGAGTCATCATGTACTGATGCAGATTCAAGACCACATGTGATGCAAGACCATGTGCATGCATGTGTTCCTTTGGTTGTAGTTTGTGTTAAACCGGAATACATGCATAAAATAAAATTGGTCAGGGATGGGCAACTTGGATGGTGGTGGGGGCCACATAATGTATGTGGCCCCCACCACCGCATGCTCCCGGGCCGCCATTTGCCCATCCCTGCTCTAGGTCATGGGTCGGCAATAGGCGGCCCACGGGGCATTGGTGGCTCGCCAGCAGTAATATTTGGGCCGGAAAATTATTTTGAGAATAAAAATAAAAGATTATTTTGATTTTTTTTTACAATATTGGACCAACAGTCGCACATAGGCTATAATGTCCGAATAGAGAATCTACCTACACCTGAAGAATGCTTATTGTACTTGTATCCATGTTGAGAGTGAATGACACATAGCACAGGCACACTCTGGCAGCGGGGTGCACTGACGCTGATAGTGGATCAATAAGTAGGTGGACAGCGCGTGGTGCTGAAATAGCCAACATGCGGGTTTGAAAAAAAGAACACCATCTCACTAAATCATTCAAACGTAATGTTTACTTATGTGAACAGTAACAAAGTTCATTCAAAACTTTGACAACAAAATCTGAGAAGCCGCTTGATCATGGAGGGCGAGGGGTGGTGGTGCATATGCTGCACCACCTGCTACCACCACCACTATGCTGCAGCTTTGTTTTGAAAGAAAAGTTGTGGCTGATCAGACATTCCCTAATGTTCGAGTGCAAGTGACATGAGGGATTGTCCCCAAGCATTCGAACGTGTCACATGTTTTAACAATCAATTACTTAAATAAGCCTTTGATTATGTTCCGGCCCGCCATCTAGTGGCTCAGAAAAAAAATGGCCCAAGGCCAAACTTATTTGCCGACCCCTGCTCTAGGTTCTTCTTCTAAATGTTGACAGTACATTTTATGATTGTTTATTGAGTTCAATCTTTATTAAAAAAAAATCTGATTTTCAGTTTTTATATTTTGTATTATTTTCGAACATCCTTCCTGATTACATTAGCTAGTTAAGATGGAGCATTCTTTTTATAGGCAATGTGTACAAAGAGGAAAGACATTTCACTTACATATTTCTTTTTGATGATGTTCCGTTTGGGTCTGTCCGTACTCATCTTGACAAGAAGACGCTAACATGGAACACCGAAGCCTTTTTCTTGACCTTTGACTCACTCTAAATTCCAACGCTCTGTCCTGGAAAAAAGGAGTCAAGTTAGGTTTAAAAAATATTTTTGAATAAATGAGTGCAAAAAAGTTAAATACACCAACAGTTCATCTGCAGAAACAAAAAATGTTCTGTTCAATATTCAATGTTCTGTCTGGTGAGTTTCATGACAAGGATGATGCTTCAAACAAGCACAGCCTGGCTCTGTATAAGACATTCAATGTTTCATTCATGTTAGGATTAAGACACAGCATTGCACGTCCGATTGCCTGAAAACAGCAACACAACATGATGTGGAAGCACAACAAACTACCCAACAACAGAAATATAAAGATTCATAAAGAAGAAAATAATCCAACTATAACCTGATCATCTAACTTGAACTAACTGTCAACACATAATAAATGATTGCATATTAAATTACATTTATTTAGTCAACGTTGTTATTGTTTTAGTTGAAAAACAACGCTCTGAGAAATGTGGCTTATTTGGTCATTAAAAAGGCTGTTTCAAGAAGAATATAATGGGCAAACTAAGGTCAGGTTTTGTATCAGTAAAACCTGAAAATAATATCATTATGGGAAACCAGGGCGGACGTTTGAAAAGGTTCAGGATTCAAAGACATGCAGGTTGTTAAGCAGCTGAGTACTGCGCAGGACAATGAACATTGTGCCTCCTTTAGCGCTGTGAGCGGAATATACAATAAGGGTATCCGTCCACATCTAAGCTGCTCCGCTTCCCTATAGTATGATACACACTCAGTTTGCTATCAATTATAGTGCCCCAGCTACTGTTATACTGTACACTGATCATGGTTTGAATTATATGGGACAGAGAGGAGTGTCTTTAAATAAATGATCATCTCTTTATTTTGTTCATATTTGAAATTGGTCATCTTTCTGGATACCAGTTGCTTTAACTTGAACTCTCTATAACTTCTCTCCTCCTCTGATCAAAGCCACATCATTGCACATTGTTTTATTGTTCTAAGAATACAGTTTGTTAGTATAAGTTCATGTCCTCTAGTAATGCGGCCTGGGGTCTGGACATCTGTCCAGCAGCAACCTGCCACATCCTTTAAGGTCTGCTGCTTCACAGGGGGAGCTGCCCTTTAGCCAGTCTTGCCCCAGTGCACTGACATGGAACCTGACGAATGGGGCTGCACAGCATCTTAGTTTTCACACATAGCCATACTGCTCTGCTAAAGCCCCCTCTGGATGAAGTGATCATCTACAGTTATAGCTTTAAAATAATGGCAGCAGCTCATTTTATGTTAATGAACATAGGAAGTGCACTGCTTTAGAACCTTAAGATGGTTATTGTATAGCCTACACTAGATTGATGTGTGTGCATCTACCACAGCATCAATCAGGATGTGTAACAATGAAGATTACAGTGGGACCCAGAACTTAGTAAGCAAGCTAATGTCAGACAATGAAAGCCCATTGACCTGCAGCAGCTTTACAGAACAGGTGTTCCTGCATACAAGCAGCTCTGTGTGAGCCCATCAGAACAGAACCAGATCAGTCAGGCTGTGTCTCAGTCTGTTCAGTCAGAACAGTCAGTACAGGGTGCAGCGGGCCCACATTCTGTGTACAATCCTCACGAGACTGTACATCCCTGAGCACTAACGATCATATCGGCCCTTAAACAAAGCAATATCAAGCAATCATCGATCACACACCTCCAGCAGGATGATCGGCCTACATCATGAGCACATCGACACCCTAAGGGGATTCACGGACCCTCTCACACTCTTTAACAAACCTGACACAACGGATCACAGAGATATCCCCCCCGGCTCCGGCATGCCGTGTCCCCCTTCTCAGAGCCGCTGGGCCCGGTGTGCCGCTCAGCTCGGCACCTGCACGGCTGATGGAGCTCAGGGAGGCAGCACCACTGCGGTCATCCGAACCAAGGCCAGCCTCGGTTATGTTTCAGTGCGCGTGTATTGTTTCATATACGGTCGGTGCAGGCTATATTACGGTCTGTGGTTGGCTTATTATGCATCCACCACGTGACCCGGAAATCGGTCGAGTCCATCGGTACACCAGCTCCGAGGTTCTGGGTTCTACCTTCTGCTTTATCAAATGCCCGATCTGGACGTTTGTCGTCTTTCGGTGACTCGATCTCAGCGGCCCCGGAACCAGAACCCTCCGGAGAGACAGTCCCTGCAGCCGAGCTCAGATCCAGGCTGCGCCTCTATTCTCTCACTACGGTACAGCGCCTCAGCTGCCTAGGAGTCAATGGTATCAAAAACTATACACTACTTAACAAATTATTAGTTTTTATCACTATTTTCTTGATTTTTCTTAATTTGTTTTCCTCTATATTTTTGTATTTATTTTTTGTATTCCGTGTATGTACCTGTGCACCCCTGATGTCAATGTTTGGTGTGTAATGTTTGATATATATTTTCTTAAATAAAGGGGGGAAAACTACTATACAAATTAGATAACAATAACATAACATTCTGACATGTCACAGAAGTATTTAAACGCTATTAGAGAAAGAGAACTTTAGCCCATTTTCAACAAGAGGCTATATTTATATTTTATGTATGTATTGTGCTCGTATGTTGTTTGACTTCAAAATTAAAATGGATTAATTGTTAAATATATTCTAACATTATTTTTGAATTGTCAGACTACATGCTGCTTGAGCGAAGCTCTTCTTCAGTTCACATCAGAAACAGAGACCTGTGGACTGCACAGTATTCTTCCTCCCTGCTGAAAAACCACATGGACCAGCATGGTGTTGACCAGCAAAACCAGAATATGTTGTGTTTTGGTCACTTGTATGCTGGTCTATGCTGGTGACCAGCATAGACCAGCATACAAGTGACCAAAACACAACTATGTCAACTATGCTGGTCAACACCATGCTGGTCTATGCTGTTTTTTTCAGCAGGGATGTATCTATCTATCTATCACCAGTTTATTACATTACATTATTACATGTCACTTGTTAGACGCTTTTATCCAAAGCGACTTACATACTCAATACTGTGGACAATCCCCACAGGAGCAATTTGGGGTGAAGTGTCTCAGGGACACAACGACATGCCGACTGCAGTGGGGTTTGTACCTGTGACCCCCTGATCTGATCACCAACGCTCAACCCACTGCGCCACACGCCTCCCCGCTTATGTTAGTATTAAATATATAATGTATTCTGGTAACTATCAAAATAAAGACATTGTATAGTGTTCATAACAGTATTTTTATTTAATAAATTATACATTAACAATACAATAATATTACAAAAAAACCTACATCTAAATAAATATATAATCTAAATAGATGCATTTGATTTAAAAAATAACAAATATAATTTAAAAAAAAAAATATATATATATATATGGAGTCGGTGGTGCACATTTATTTACGTATTTAATCATAGATTTTCGCTTGTAAGGAGTAGAAATATGATTCAGATATCTGCGGAATCGCTAGAATCGTAGCTTTTCAAGAGTATCTCCTGTGAGACTGTACCCAGGGCACAGCAGCCAATATTGCCGCTCAAAGCAGCTTGATTCGGCGTTACACTGTGTGTGATTGGTGGATTTGTGTGTCAGTCAAGGACATCTCGGCCGGCCGGCAGCCATGTCGGTCTGAAATTACCAATGGACACTCTAGAAATCTAAGGACCTACCCACCAATAAAAAAACATATAACAGGTGTCTCCCATCAGTTTCAGTCTTTTAGTCTGTGAAGAATATAGAGAAAATGGCTCGAAGGAACTTTACCGTTGCGGACGCTCTGGATTTTATTTTCGCGAGCGGCAGTGAAGAAGATGGCTCATCAGAACCTGAAGGCTTCGACTCTTCTGAAGAAGAAGAATACAGGGACAGCAGGGATCCATTTGAGGATGGGTAAGTGTAAATATAACTTGTAGTGCATTTGCCATTTTGTGAGGAGTACCGCGAAAATGAACAATGGATTTATCAACCTTTTTATTTTCCCCTCATGAACTTTTTCTCGGGACAAAATAGACTCTTGATTAGTAAACGTTTACTCTGTGTAAATGATATTTATGTGTAAACGTTATTTTGGCATGTATAAGTAAGGTTACATGTGTAGATGAATAAAAATAATCCTTTATTCGTCCCACAACACTGTTCTGTACAGATGAGACTTTGTCATAGACTTATTTACATGTGTGTCTGTGATAAACTTTATGTGTAAACGTTATTTTGGTGTGTATAAGTAAGGTTATATGTGTAGATGCATGAGATAATCCTTTATTTGTCCCACAACGGAGATATTTGTGTGTGTGTGTGTGTGTGTGTGTGTGTGTGTGTGTGTGTGTGTGTGTGTGTGTGTGTGTGTGTGTGTGTGTGTGTGTGTGTGTGTGTGTGGTGTGTGTGTGTGTGTGTGTGTGTGTGTGTGTGTGTGTGTGTGTGTGTGTGTGTGTGTGTGTGTGTGTGTGTGTGTGTGTGTGTGTGTGTGTGTGTGTGTGTGTGTGTGTGTGTGTGTGTGTGTGTGTGTGTGTGTGTGTGTGTGTGTGTGTGTGTGTGTGTGTGTGTGTGTGTGTGTGTGTGTGTGTGATAATTATTGTCCCACAATTTTTATTTGTTTTACAGAGAGGTGTCACAGCTGCCTGGGCCTAGCAGCCCACAGATGACATTTATCCAGGAGCCTCCAGCTGTGCCTGCCACCATGTTGAGATCTACCATGGATCAAGGGCCTTCACCACTGCCATCCCCACCAAGCACTAGCGGACCAGCATCACGACAGCTGCCTCCATCTCTGCCTGCGACGAGGTCGAGATACACCTCAGCTCCACCACAGCCACAGCCATCACCATCAACCCGGACAGCAAAGAGGTCTCGTAGAGCACACGTACCTCCCACACAGCCACCAGCTGCCCATGCACCATCACCCCCACCTGCACAGCAGCCAGCTCCACTGTCTTGGAAGACAGGCGAAGACCCTGACACTGCTCCCCCTGTCTCCAGGTTTCAACCTGCTCGCACACCCGGGCCACAGCTCAGCTCAACAGTATCAAACAAACCCCTTGACCTGTTCAAGCTGTTCTTCCGTGCACTAACAGTACAGACACTCTGTACCAACACAAACAAGCGGGCTGCACAGGAGATGGGAAAGGGTAAAACCTACAAATGGACTGACTTGACTGTAGAGGATTTCTATAAATACATGGGGCTGCTGAAACTGGACAATGTATTGGACTACTGGAGGAAGGATCATTTTGTCAGTGTATAATGAATAGTTGGTTGAAGGAAAAAAAGTTCTGATGTTCAATATTGTAAATAGTGAGATTTTGCAGTTATATTTATATACATTGTTGGTATTATAATAAATTGTTGGTAGAAAAAAAAAGTTCTAATGCTCAATTCTTTTTTTTTTACACATCACATGAACCTTGTCATGTAATATGAAGTCATTATTCAGTCCTGATATATCTCAGTCCCTGCTGTGGTGAAAGTAGAGTGATTGACAGCTGTTTTACTCAGAATGCGAATTTATAAAATTTCATTTTAGACATGAATAACACATTTATATACAGTGTAATTCAAATATTTCACTACTTTTGTAATCCTAAAACTTTGATAACCAAATCTAAAACACCAAAACAATTCGATCACATGAGTAAATTTGTGTTTTTGTGAGGTATCTATATTACTTTGTAAGGGTAAAACCCCAGCTCGGTTCAATTATACCAGATCCAGTGAACAAAGATAACAGTACTCGAGTTTCAAGTTTACTTGCTGCAAGGAGAATCGGCGAGTGACATGCAATGTCAACTCCTTAACCAACTCTACTCGCCTTCTCTCAGTGCATTCTTTTTATTTCAACAATACAGTAACATGACAATCATGTGGTGTTGACCAACGCCTTATTTGTTAGTGTGAATCTTGTGACTCTCAGTCATGTGAATCTGTGTGTGTGTGTATGTGTGCCATTTGAACAGACTGTTCTCTGTTTAACACACATTATGAAAACACATTATGAAAACACTTTTACCCTTCAATAAACTCTAACATTCCCTCCTGTTTTTCATAATTACTAGCTGGTTACAGTGTCTTTATTACTTTCAGAATTAATTCACTTGTTTTTGACATTTTCGAACCATTCGTCATATGACAGACAGTAACCTAGCTTTAAGTCTTACACATTGGAGGTTAGGTGAGTATATTCGTCCTTCTGAGAGGGGTCTGTGTCAGTATAGTCACCGTTATCTGTCTGTTGCAACATCGTTGAGTAGTGACCATTTTTTCTCTCGATGGACTTCTTCTTTTGTTGAGGATTCCTCACTCAATTGTCTTATAGTCATTAGCGTCAGACCCAGCAAGGTCACTACAAACAACACCTTTCCCAACATAGTCTATTTGTGATAGTGGTTCTGTTGTTTTCTTCACCGGGGTTGAGACCAGTATTTCCTAATGAAACACCGCCCTTTGTAGCCGGACTTCCACCACTTATCCGTCGTTAAGTTGAAGAGGTTTTATCTTTTTGCAGTGGCTCTGATGTATCCACGTAGTTCTTTCGGCGATTTTTAGTGCAGTCGGTGTTGTCAGCAGTACCGTGTAGGGACCGTCCCACCGTGGACAGTGCCAATGCTTCCTCTTAATCACCTTCACGAGGACCTGGTCACCAGTCTGCACTCGAGTATCCTGTAAGGGAGTAGAAATGTCTGGCAAGTTATTTGTTCGAGCTATCTCATTACTTCTGAAGAGTCTGCTCATCCATTCAGCTAATGTAGTCTCTGCCTCAGCATCATCCTCCTCCCTCACCTCGTCTGTGATTGGTAGTCTGAATTGCCTTCCTGTTATGATCTCAAAGGGAGACAACCCTTTTGCCGTGGGCGTGATTCTCATGCATGTTTCTACTAGAGACACACATTCCACCCATGGTCTTCCTGTTTCCTCCATTGTTTTCCTTAGTCTTAACTTTACTGTTCCGTTTGTTCTTTCCACTAAGCCTGCACTCTGTGGATGATATGCACAATGGTTTTTTAATGTTATCCCCATATGTTCGGACAGTTTGGTAATAACCTGATTTACAAAATGGGAACCATTATCACTGTACAGTTTCTCTGGAATACCTCTGTTTGGTATTATTGTCTTGCATATGGCTTTTGCTACGGTAATAGCGTCTGCATGTTTTGCTGGGAATATTTCAACCCACTTTGAAAACGGACATATCATTACCAAACAGTATTTGTACCCTTGGCATGGTGTTAGTTCGATGAAGTCCATATGCATGTGTTGAAACGGGTATGTTGGTGGAGGGAACTTTCCTCTCTGTGGTCGCTCATTGCCTTGAGCATTGTGTCTGCAACATACTACACAGGCTCTACAAAAGTTTTTAGAAAATGTAATGTAGTTGTATGTATGGAAGTGTTCATTTATTATTGTCACCATCCCTCCTGTTGAGACATGGCACGGCCCATGACTCAAATGAGCTGCTGTTTTGTAGAGACTAACAGGGAGTACTATCTTGTTGTTTATTCTGAATGTTCCCTCAGGGTCTGTGGTTGCATGTTCTGTCAGTCTCTTCTTTACAACAGTGTGGTTCTCCATCTTCTGCTGTAGGTATTAATGTGGCTGGATTTAAGATATTACATATTTTTATCACAATGTGTGGTTGCGACATTAGTGTAGCTGTCAGTGCCAAATAACGTGCAGGTGATAAGAAAGCCATTTTGGTGTCATGTAACAACATGGTGACTGCGTGTGGAACCATCAGTGTGAGTGGGTGGAACAAAACTATTTCTGCTGTACAATGTACCGCCATTGCTGCAGCGCATACTGCTTGTACGCAGTATACTGGTAATGCTTGTGCTACTGGGTCTAACCTTTTAGAGTAGTAAGCGACAGGCCTTAGTTTTGTGCCGTGTTTTTGGGCCAATACTGATGTCATAAACCCTTTTTTGCAGTCAACTGTTTGTACAAATGGTTTTTCATAGTCTGGTAATGCTAACACTGATGACCCTACAAGACACTGTTTAGTCCTTTCAAATGCAGCTTCTGCCTCTTGTGTCCATTCTATTTTGCCGGACATTTTCATGTCATTGTTTGAGTATATGCAATCTAGTAGGGGCTGAGTCATTCCTGCGTAGTCTGGAACCCATGCTCTGCAATAGTTAGTCAGCCCAAGGAATTGCATCATTTGTTTTTATGTTGTTGGTTTTGGTGCGTTTAACACCGTGTGTTTCCTCTCTGAGTGTATGCGTCTCCCTTCTCGGTTTAAATTGTGGCCTAAAAAGATCACTTCCTCTTTCACAAACTGAAGTTTCTGTCTTGAAACCTTGTTTCCTGTTTTGGCCAAATGTGTCAGTACTTGTAGTGTGACTTCTGTGCTTTCTTCCTGTGTGGGTGACGCAACAAGAATATCATCTACATATACCAAAATCTGCGATGTGTCAGGTATCTGTAATGTAGCCAAACAATTTGCTATTTCTCGTGAAAAGATTGTTGGGCTATCCACATACCCCTGAGGTAATCTGGTGTATGTGTACTTTGTTCCTTCATGTGTGAACCCGAACCATCCTTGTGAGTCTTTTTCTACAGGAATGGAGAAAAAGGCATTGCTCAAGTCTATCACTGAGAACCATGCCATATTTGGCTTAAGGCCGTTCATTAACGTGTGTGGATCTGGTACTGTTGGGGCTGTGCTTTGTACAGCGTCATTTACTGCTCTTAAGTCTTGAATCATTCTCCATGACTGCCCATCAGCCTTTTTTACTGGGAAGATGGGGGTATTGCATGATGCATCAGGGCACTCACGCATGATCCCTGCTTTTAGCATTTCTTCAATTACAGGTTTGATGCCAACTTTTGCATCCTCTTTTAAGGGGTATTGTCTTATGTTAGGTCTGTAGTTAGTTTTTGGTCTAACGTGTACAGGTTTTGCGTTCACCATGCGACCTACATCACATTTTCCTTGTGACCATACGCATTGGCGGCACCGTTTTCAGGACCTCTAAGGCCTCTTCACTTAGCATACATCATTGTTGTTCAGGGTCGTCTAGGTGGGCGCGTGGTGTCATCACTAGGGTAAACCCTAGAGTTTTGCGCTTTAACCCGCCTCCAGTTTGCCAACCGTTTTTGTCATCTGTCCATTTTGTTATCCTGTTACCTCTAGCCACTAATAAACCTAAGTCTCTCCATGAAGTCTCTGGACCCCTAGCTACTGATATGTGTGGCGTGGAACCTGGTTCCATTATCAAGGCAGTGGTTGATGGGACCCTAGCGTCAATTACAACATCCCTGTGTTGGTTTGCATACATCGAGTGGAACACTACCCTCTGTGGTGTCAGTCGATGCACGAGCACATCATAGTCTTTGTCTGGGCCAGGGGTGTTCTTGTACTTTAGTGTAACGTGCAATGCGTCAGGTTTCATTACTTCTTGGCCATGTTGTGGGGTGAATAGCGTTAACAGGTGTTCACCTGTGTTTGTCACGTCAGGTTGTGGCATGTCTAGTGACCAGTAGTAGTTGGGGGTGTTTATGGATTTTTGAAGGAAGACCTGGTCTTCCACCTTTTCTCCGGGCCCTACTGCTCGCATTCCCCCTTTGACTGGTACTACACTGATTTTTAACATATCCATGCCGTCTCTCCCTAGCAAATTGACAGGGCAGTTTGAGATGAACACAAATTTGAGGGATGCCTGGAGGCCTGACCTTCTATCTTCCATAAAAAGTGGCTTTGAAATTGACCTCTGATTTATGTGTCCATTTGCTGATTTTACAAACATAGTGCCAGTTGGTGGCCACATTCTTTGGACCTCTTTTTTCACTACTGATGAGTCTGCACCGCTGTCACATAAGAATTCTAATTTTTCTCCATTGATTTCGATTGTCCTGGTAGGTTTAATACTGTTGTCTGACAGATTCAGTAATACTTCAGAAAGGTCAATGTGATGTGTGTGGACGTCCTCTTCTTCCTTTTCTACGTCTAGTCAGTTGTCATAACTATGTAGGTTATGTGAAGGGGGGGGGCCATGTCTTTCGTCTTTGTACTGTCCCTTTTGTCCCCCTTCTTTGTTCTGTGGTCTCTGTTCCTCACAGTCTCTCGCCATGTGCCCCTCCTTTCCGCACCTGTAGCAGAGGAATTTGCCTTCTGCGTTTCTGCCTCCTCCTCTGCCTCTGCCTGTTCCTCTACCATTCCCTCGTCCTCTGTTAAACCCGCCTCTCCCCTGTCCTGGTCCCACAAAGAAAATCTGATTTTCTTCCCCATCTTCTCCTATGAAGAAAGCTGATGCTCACGCTTTCTTATGTCTTTTTTCTTTAATCTGGGTTGCTGCATGTTCTGCATAATTTAGGCACTCTTGTAAGTCGCATGTCCTATGGTTAACATTATGCTTGCGGATAAAGTCAGCAATACCTGGGTGGAACCCATTCATCAGGCTTTGTTTCAGCTGCTGCACATATGGGGAGTCAACAGCATTGTTGGGTGGAATTCCGCTATGGATGCGGAAACAATCTTCCATTCTGATTCTGAAATCTTGTACTGACTCTTTTTCTCCCTGTCTACACCCTGAGACTTTAGTAAAGTCTCGTCTCAGTGCAAAAACCCTCTCGATTGAGATATTTACGGGAGCGAGTGCATTGATGAGGTCCTGCTGACCTGGTTCCAGGGGGTTTCCATTGGGCCAGGACCCGGTGAAATCTCCCTTTACCCTGGCCCATTCGTGGCCAAAGATTGTCATAAGGGTTCTTAAAACTTCATGTCCATTTAAACCATATGACGCTATTAATGCAGTATGGTCAAGGACAAACTGCGCCGGGTCCTGTTTGTATGGAGTCAGTCCCTCACAAGCCTTTTTACACTCATCCATTGTCCATGGGCGGAACACTTTTAACATTCTTTCTAGGTCACCGTCAACTCCATAGTGCGGGTTGGCCACTTGTACTAATGGATAAGCGTCACCCTGATATGCTGTTCCGTCGAAGGATTTTTCTGCTTCTCTTAATTCTTCAACAGGATATAACTTGGTTTCTCCCTTATTTTTTCTGGTGTGCAGTGGGCTTAATGCATCTGCCATTTCTTTGTCGATGCGTTTTTGTGTCTCTCTTTCCCTGTCTTTTCTCTCTTTCTCTTGCTTCCTTTTTATTCTTTGTTCCTGCCCTTTGTGTTCTTCCACTATCGCTCTCTCTTTCTCGCGGCGTACATCGTCAACTGACCCTGAATGCCCTGTCTCCTCGTCTGCTTTCACTGAAACAGCCGCTGCTATCATACCTTCTTCTGCTCCACCTGTCCTTTTATGGGCTTGTTCAGCCCATAAAGCTGCAACCCGCAGTTGAGCTTCTAACTTCTTTCTTTTCTTGCCTTGTGTTGTTCCAGCTGTTGCTGCTCTCAATTTGTCGCTTAATTCTCTTACTGCTGTTTTCTCCAACTTTCCTCGGAAGCCGTACAGTTTATACCATTTGCTACAATAACTGGTGCTGCCATGACTATATATTTCCATATATCTCATGTCCCCTGTAGCGGCAGGCTTACTCCCATTGGACCCCATGATTCTAGCTTGGTGTTCCTACTGGACAACGTGCCGGTCAGAACCTAATTCCTAATTCACCACTACGTGTACTTCAAAAGACCACAGAGTTTGTGTTATCACCGTTAGGTTTCCACTCTGTGCGCTGATTCCACTGGTGACACTTTTACACACCGCTTTCACTCAATCACTCATAAGTGTACCCAAAGGCACGTCGATCCTCCTTCTAGGCGGAGTAGCCTTTCTCTATCAACGTTTTATCAACCTCCTTAATGGCGGAGTAACCGTGTATATCAACGTTTTATCAACCTCCTTAATGGCTGAGTAACCGTGTATATCAACGTTTTATCAACCTCCTTAATGGCGGAGTAACCGTGTATATCAACGTTTTATCAACCTCCTTAATGGCGGAGTAACCGTGTATATCAACGTTTTATCAACCTCCTTAATGGCGGAGTAACCGTGTATATCAGCGTTTTATCTTACCCGTTATCTGTGGTCACTGGTCCGGTTGGATTCCGTCAATCGTGCCTAGGATGAGGGAGGTTGGACATATAAGCACCGGCCCGGCCACGAATTCTGCGTCCCGGGTCTTTCTCGGGGTCGGCTGATGATCCCGGCTGTCGACAGACTGCGGCGTGTCTTTTCCCTCCTCCTTCCCGTCACGATGTATTGGAATCCGGCTCCGAAGGACCAATTAATGTGAGGTATCTATATTACTTTGTAAGGGTAAAACCCCAGCTCGGTTCAATTATACCAGATCCAGTGAACAAAGATAACAGTACTTGAGTTTCAAGTTTACTTGCTGCAAGGAGAATCGGCGAGTGACATGCAATGTCAACTCCTTAACCAACTCAAACTCGCCTTCTCTCAGTGCATTCTTTTTATTTCAACAATACAGTAACATGACAATCATGTGGTGTTGACCAACGCCTTATTTGTTAGTGTGAATCTTGTGACTCTCAGTCATGTGAATCTGTGTGTGTGTGTATGTGTGCCATTTGAACAGACTGTTCTCTGTTTAACACATTTTATGAGAACACATTATGAAAACACAGTTATGAAAACACATTATGAAAACACTTTTATCCTTCAATAAACTCTAACAGTTTTCACAAGAGTTTTGAAGATTTTCCGAAAATCGGATGTCAAATTTTAAGCTTTTGAGCTACTTATCTCATCAAACAGTGCTCTAAGGTGAGTAATTTGCATATATAGCAATACTAGAGATTGTCCTGAACATTTTGATATGTAACACATGGGTGCCATTTTAGAAGAAATACATTTAAAAGGTGATTTAAGAAAACATCTAAAAATCGAGAAAATACCCTATTCATTATCTTCTCTGTACCTCATTCATTACATTACATTACATTACATTGCATTTAGTTGACGCTTTTATCCAAAGCGACTTACAATAAGTACATTCGACCAGGAAGACACAACCTTGAAGAAAACAGAATCATATAAGTACATCAGGTTTCATAGAGCCAAACATTTCAAGTGCTACTCAACTGGCTTTAGGTAAGACAGTCCTTTATTAGTATAAAAGTGCTTCGTTAATAGTTCTAACGCTCGAAGTGGAGTCGAAAGAGATGAGTTTTCAGTTTGCGCCGGAAGATGTGCAAGCTATCTGCCGTCCTGATGTCAATGGGGAGCTCATTCCACCATCTTGGAGCCAGGACAGCAAACCCACGTGTTTTCGCCGATGGGAACTTGGGTCCCCCTCGCAGCGAGGGCGCAACAAGTCGTTTGGCTGATGCAGAGCGTAGTGCATGCGCTGGGGTGTACGGTTTAACCATGTCCTGGATGTAGGAAGGGCCAGATCCATTCGCAGCATGGTAAGCAAGTACCAGTGTCTTGAAGTGGATTCTAGCAGTTACCGGAAGCCAGTGAAGGGAGCGGAGGAGCGGAGTGGTGTGGGAGAATTTAGGAAGGTTGAAGACCAGACGAGCCGCTGCATTCTGGATGAGCTGCAGAGGTCGGATGGCACATGCAGGTAGACCAGCCAGGAGGGAGTTGCAGTAGTCTAGGTGTGAGATGACGAGAGCCTGGACCAGAACCTGAGTCGCTTTCTGAGTCAGCTGGGGACGTATCTTCCTGATGTTGTAAAGCGTGTATCTGCAGCAACGGGTTGTAGCAGCGATGTTTGCAGTGAAGGACAGGTTGTTATCTAGGGTCACACCCAGATTCCTTGCAGTCTGAGTCGGGGAAACAACTGAGGTGCCGATGTTGATTGTTAGGTCAAGAGTGGGACAATCTTTTCCCGGGAGGAAGAGCAGCTCAGTCTTGTCAAGGTTGAGCTTGAAGTGGTGAGCAGACATCCACTGAGAGATGTCAGCTAGACAAGCAGAGATGCATGCAACGACCTGGGTCTCTGAGCGGGGAAAGGACAGAATTAATTGGGTGTCATCAGCGTAGCAGTGGTAAGAAAAACCATGCGGGCTAATGACTGATCCGAGCGAGTTTGTGTACAGGGAGAAGAGGAGGGGACCAAGAACAGAGCCCTGAGGGACCCCCGTAGTTAATTGACAAGGGTCGGACTCAGACCCTCTCCAAGTCACCCTGTAGGTACGGTCTTTCAGGTATGAGGTGAGGAGGGAAAGTGCAGAGCCTGAAACTCCAAGTTTTTGGAGAGTGCGAAGGAGGATCTGATGATTCACCGTGTCGAATGCAGCAGACAGGTCCAATAGGATGATGACAGAGGAGAGGGATGCAGTTTTGGCAGTGTGCAGTTCCTCCGTGACAGCAATGAGAGCAGTTTCTGTGGAGTGACCTGCCTTGAAACCAGACTGGTGCGGATCCAGAAGGTTGTTCTGATGGAGATAACAGGAGAGTTGTTTAAAGACAGCGCGTTCAAGTGATTTAGACAGGAACGGGAGGAGAGAGACAGGCCTGTAGTTTATAACATCAGATGGGTTGAGAGTGGGTTTCTTTAGGAGAGGGTTTACTCTTGCCTCCTTGAGACTGTTTGGAAAGTGACCAGAAGTGTTGATGAAATGGGTGAGAAACGGTAGAATATCAGGAGCGATAGTCTGAAGGAGGTTTGAAGGGATAGGGTCCAGAGGACAGGTGGTAGGGCGGGCAGAGGTAATGAGGGTAAGAACCTCACTTGGAGAGAGAGGGGAAAAGGAGGTAAGTGTGTTGGTGGAAGGAGGGTCTGGTGACCCAGCGGTGAGTAAAGGTGAGTCAGAAAAAGAAGAGCGAATATCATCAACCTTTTTTTCAAAGTGGGTAACAAAGTCGCTTGACAGAAGTGAGGAGGGGGGAGGAGCTTTTGGAGGGTCCAAGAGGGTGGAGAAGATGGAAAATAGTTTTTTAGGATTGGAATAGGAAGATTGGATCTTATCTTGAAAGAAAGTGCTTTTTGCCTGAGAGATCGAAGCAGAGAAAGAGGAGAGGAGAGCCTGATAGGTTAGGAGGTCGTCACGGTGTTTGGATTTCCACCATTTCCGCTCTGCTGCCCTAAGGACGGTTCTATTAGCACGCAGTGCATCATTTAGCCAGGGAGCAGGAGGGGACTGACGAGCCTGCCGAGATGTGAGAGGACAGAGCGAGTCCAGAGTGGATGAGAGAGTAGAGAGGAGAGTTTCTGCAGCAGAGTTTGGAGGCAGGAGATGGAACGAATCAGAGGAAGGGAGGGCTGAGAGCACCGACGAGGCAAAGCTAGAGGGGGAGAGGGAGCGAAGGTTACGGCGGACAAGTGCAGGATGAGAAGAGATTAGTTTGTTATGTTTGGAAAGGGATAGAGAGAATGAAATGAAGAAGTGATCGGATGTGTGGAGC